TGAAATTAGTGAGGGGCATAGAGCATTTTAAGTGAGGGACCCAACTGCAAAGTTTTAATTGGAGGGCAAACCCGTTCCATGTTGACACATTGCAGAGTGCCATGTTCCTCAAACTGCAATGTGCACAAGGACCACTTGGGATCTTATTTAAATGCAGATCTTGATTCTGCAGGTCTGGCACAGGCAACAATTCTGTTTTTCCAACAAACTCACACTCAGAGTAGTAAAGGCATAGTGGTTAAGCTGGTGAACTCAAAGCCAGATCATTCCGGTTCGGCTTCTAGTTCTACCACTTCTAGCTGTTGACCTTTGCGCAAGTTCCTTAACCTAGCTATTCCTCAGTCTTCTCATTAGTAACACAAGAATAATAATAGTCCTATCCCCTATGCTTGTTGTAAGAATAAAATGGAATAATATTTGACCTGTAGAAAGAGCTTCATAAATGTGAGTTATTACTCTAACTTCACTGATCAGTGACTGAGGCACCAAGATATTTAAAAACAAAACATTAGTATCTCAATGAGTTCCTATGTGACGAAATCAGAATTCAAAATTCCATTTGGCTGTGGAGGGAGCAGGGTGAAGGGGATCAATTGGGTTGACAGTGCGGGGGGGGGGGGCATCTCTAATACTTTCAACAGTAAAGATAAACTTTTTTAAAAAAAGGAAGTTCCATTTGGTAAGGGATAAGCTGTGTTCTACCTTCTTTAGCTGACTCAGTGGAATTGTTTGAAGCTGTGTATTTTGAAGGGTGTGTATAGATCTAATTCTAATTCAAAGGTGGAAGCCTCTTTCTTACTAAGATCCTATGAGTAAGGTTGAAATGATGATATTATTTTGGTTGCATGACAAACTTAGAAGAACCCTTTATAATGAGTGTTTTTCCTATAAGTGACAAAACAAAACAAACCAACAAACAAAAACAATACACCAAAACTTGACTAGTACATTCCCACACCTTCAAATTTTCCTATAGGTCTTTATTAATAATTATTGTTATATAAAGTGCAATTGTAAAAAAAAATAAAGTGCAACTGGAATGTTTATAAATGAGTTGAAAATAGTGTCTATTGCCTACTATGCAAATACAACCACACGAGGGCAGTATCTTATATATTTCCTTATAGAGAACCCCTACTATTTTTATAGCGGATGAATTTATATACTAGTCCTCTAAAAATTATGGGAAATAGCATCTAGGCATGAAAATGTAATTTAATATAAATTTGTGCTTTTTTTTTTATCCCTAGCTTATACCATTTGCCCTACTAGTGTGACTTCTGATGTGAATACAAACACAAAAGCCAATGACTCTCAAGTGCACACGGGGCATTCTCAAAGACAGACCACATGTTAGGACACAAAATAAGTCTCTATAAGTCAAGAATATTGAAATTAGATCAAGCATTTTCTCAGATCACAATGGCATGAAACTAGAAATCAACTACAATAAAAACTCTAAAAAACAAACACTTTGAGGCTAAATAGCATGCCATTAGACAATGAATGGGTTAACAATGAAATCAAGGAAGAAATAAAAACGTTGTGAAAAAAAAACTAAAATAAACACACAACTACCTTAAAAACTACCTTAAATTAATGGAACACGGTGAAAGCATTCCTGACAGGAAAGTTCATAGCATTATAGGCCTACCTCAAGAAATAAAAAAAAAATCTCTAATGAACTATCTACTCCTAAAATGAAAAGAATTAGAATGAGAACAACATGAAAAGCCCAGAGTAAGTAGAAGGAAGGGAATAGTCAAGATCAGAGTAGAAATAAATGACAGAGAGACTAAAAAATACGATATAAAAGATCAATGAAATCAAGAGCTGGCTCTTTGGAGAGATAAGCAAGATTGATGACTCATCAAGAAACAAAGAGAGGACCCAAATAAACAGCAAATGACTGATTTTATTAAAATTTAACAAAGATTGATGAGTTGGTCACAGAGCTAAAAACTCATCTTGCCTACACAACTGATTCAACTTTATACAGTAAAAAGAAAGAATAGCAAAATAAGTGTCGTTAAGCAAATTTAATAAATGCCTTCTGTGTTCTGAAATCCTAAAAGACCAAAGTTGACTGCTTTTTGGAAGCTGAACTGTTGTCTTTTCAATCACTGCATACCGTTTAATCTTAATCATAAAATACTGTCATAAAAAATTAGTTAATACTTTGTCAATAGCACAGGGAAACTAACATATAAGCAGAATATTCCTAAAGGGATTATTAGGTGCACTGGAAATTATCATGTCAAATAATAAATAAATATTTACAAATCTCCAGGGTCTTTCCAAGTTTTAATTTTTTTGTTTATTTTTTTGTGGTTTCACCTTTATCCACAATAAGTCATCTATATACTCCTAACAGCTGTCTTTATACCACCCATTTGGCAAGCATTTTGTATTCTTCACAATGCCCCCTCAAGTAACAAGCATTTGGATGGAATGCTTCAGTATTGCTAGTCATCCTTCAATGTCTATTCTACCCTTCTTCCTCAGTAATAGGACCCTGAGTGTTAGGAGCATGTGGAATAAAGATATTTTTCAGCCTCTTTGTAGGTTTGTGTGGCCACATGATTAAATTTGGGTCAATGAAAAAAAAAACAGAAATGGTGTGTGCAACTTCTATGAAGTGTGCTTGTAGAAAAACCATGTGCCTCTGTCCTTCCTTTTTTCCTCTCTGGTTGGCTAGAGGGTGGATGCAATGACACCAATAGAGGCTGCTGTTTTGGATCATGAGATCAAAGCCACATCTTAAAGAATAAAATAGAATCTGACACCCTGATGATCTTACCATACCTGCCCTTCTCTACCTACATTTCTGTGCAAAAATAAATAAATAAATAAACTTCTCTCTTGCTTTAGACACTGTTATTTTGGGTTTCCTGTCACTTGCATCCAAATGTAATTCTAACATACACATACTCAAATAGTCATTGATGCATCTATCTTGCAGGTATGATTCTTTTCATTATGTCTTGGTCTCTGTCATCCATCCTATCTTACTCAAATTCATGATGGGACCCAAGGAAAAGAGAGAGATGCATTAAATAATACCTGAGAACGCTCAGTATTGAAGAGGTTAAATTTAAGAAAAATTAAATTCATGAGAAAAAAGGGTTCAAGAAGTCAAAAATCTTTTCTATTCTAGTAGCTTTGGCTTATTAAGAGACATTCTAGGTAAGATTGGTAAGATTTCAAAATTAACTCCCAAGATAATGAGACAAAAGCTAGACCAGATGTCTAAGCTAAGTTTTGGACTCAAAATAATTACCTTTGTTAATTACCAGCAATTAATGTCAGCATCCAACACTTTCCTAAAAACTTTGGGGGTTGGGCAGAGATAGAGAAAGAGATGAGGGTAGGGGGTAGAGAATGAATGTGCATAAAAAAGAGTCAGAACATAAGCATTTTCCAGTACAGTTACATCTTGGGGTCATTAAAACCTGATTCAAATTTTATAATTTTGAACACTGGGCTTTATGGAAAAACTGGATATTTTCTTCCAGTCAATGCAGATAGCTTTTCCTTCTGCCTAGGCATCACTGGAAGTTTATATCCTTTATTTTTTGTGCCCCTATTTCATTGCCAAAATGATTATTTTTATCTATAAAATTGCACCTTTCACCTTGCCCCCTTCCCCTACACACACAAAAATGTCATCTGAAAACAGACCCAGCAGAAATGCCTAGGGCTGTTCCTGAGTCTTTCTTTAACATTCCCTTCTCAGCCAGAGGACAGCGAAGGGTTCTCAGAGCTTTGTGGACAGCTTGATTATTTGGGCCCTTGTTACCCAGTGCAGGACTCTTCCCTTCTCTGCGTGGGTAACCCTCTATGGACAGAAATATGTATAGATGAATCTATTTGTGCTCTCCCTTCTCATTTCATATCTCGTTAGGCTACCCTTTTTGTGCTTAGCATTTCTTTTTAAATATTTAGGGGCACATGTCTATACTGTTTATTAATAATTCATTGTAGATGTAGTCATTTTAACCTGCAAGTAACAGTGGACATACTTTACTCTTTAAATCTCCATCACAAACATCTCATGTTTGACTCCTGCCCCCGCCCTCTGTCTCATGGTAGTCAATCGTACTCCTTTATGCCATCTTTATTTAACTGTTTACTGGTCTGTCTCCCTCAGACTGCTAGAGGGAAGGAACCATGTCTTACCTCATTAATTATATCTCCAGTGGCCACTAGGCATATATAGATAATGCACTGAATTTTTTTTTTTTTTTTTTTTGCAGTTCATGAAATATGCAGTTACCCATATTGCCAGGCCAATAGGACTTCTACTTACACACTTCAATCCTTTTATGGGCTCAGTAAGTCAAGAGATGAAGTAATTTTTCCTACTATTTTGTGTTTTAGTAGTGATTTTCAAGTTCATTTTAGTCCTTGGGCAATTTCTTTATACCAAGATATTGACCAACTTACCTGCTCGCAGAGAGAAAAAGAATTATTCATAAAGCTCACTAGGCTGGGAAGGAAAGTGAAGTTTGATGATAAAGTAAAATGGTGTTGTTTTGTTTTTAATATGTATTATGCATCAATTACCACTACATGCTAAAAAGCAAAGACAGCTATATTTAGTAATTAAGACTAACATCAAAAGGGGACAATTGGTATACTCGTTAAGTACCTATTTCTAAAGAATCTATATTCTACCCACCACTGCGGTACTAAAACTTTATGGCTTTTAAAGGTGTACATCTAAATTATAAAACCAACTGCACTTTTATATGTTATTGCTTACTTCAAGGTTTGTTATCAGAGAAAAGGCATGAGTTATGTCAAGGGCACACAGGCATTTTAATTTACAGGCATATCTTATTTGCTTTATGGAAACCAGAAACCACATAATCCTCATATCATTCAAGATTTTCACCCCATGATCACTATTCATTACAGTATGATCAAAGCTGCTCAATGTAATCACTTTTCATTTCACAGTTCCTTCTCACCAATCTATATTTTCTCTAATTCCGTACCTCCAGTGCTGTTCTGAACTGTCCCGCCGCCACGGCGTACTTCTTCTGTCTGTAGCACAAGCTGGCATCCTTTAAGGCTACCTGAAGCCATTTGTCAATCTGAGGCAGACGGCTGCAATTAGGTGCGTGCACAGGGTCTACTATTTCAGCAGCTCGGCATGTTGGCTGAGTCCCAGTGGACGTGAAGGGCTCCACAAACTCGTAGCTCACGTCCTCTTCATCGATGTAGACCAACTTCGCCTCCACATCCATGATGTTCTTCAGGGGGATGTGAGGCAGGGGCGGTGTGATCAACGGGCTGTCAAGTTCCAGGATCTTTGCCTCTTTCCTTCCAGCTGGCTTTTCTTCGCCTTCTGCCTTCCTTTTAAAGGCCAGTTTCTCTAAATCATTGCTTTGTTTTTCTTTGATGCTCTTTGCCATTTTTATTCTTTCGACTGTGATTTCTACCTGTTTGTCTCCACAGCTTTTCTTAATCTCTTGTGGTATTTCCAGGATGCTGGGTGGGTTTGCTGAAGTGGACAGTTTCCTGCTTGTGTTTATCTTTGGAACCAGCTGATCAGAATAGACCCTGTTTACTGTATTCTCCAAACTCCTACTGCTTTCTGAATTCATTGATTCCCCCCGAAACTCCTATAGGGGTTAGAAGAAGAAAAATAATTAAAACAATATTTTGAAATTTTAATGATTTAAGACTATAGTCAAATTTATTTATTATTTTTATTTTTATCCTCACCTGAGGACACTTTTTTTATTTTTTGTTCAGATAGAGTGGAAGGGAGAGAGAGGAAGAGAGAGAGAGAGAGAGAAACATCAATATGAAAGGAACACATTGAGTGGCTGCCTCCTACACGATCCAATCAGGGCTGGGGACAAATTGGAACCGAGGTACATACCCTTAGCCAGAACCGAACCTGGGTCTCTCTGGACCACAGGTTGACACTCTAACTGCTGAGCCAAACCAGCCAGGGCTAAAATTTATTTATAAACACTTTTATGCATTATAGGTATTTTGTCTCTATAAAGTAAAACTGTGTGTACATCACTGCCGTTTTACCAAGGAAGTGCATGTTTCAATTTCAAAATTTACCAAGCATTTGTTGAAAATACATTTAGACAATGTCTTAAAAATAATCATCTATAGCTGAACAACATTGAACGAACAATTTTATGGGCTACCCAAAGTCACCAAATAGGAAAACCTTATACCAGCCACTGAGGACAAAAAAAGACAACAACAACAACAAAAATCCATCTCAATATTAATTTCCTGAGAAAGGCAGTTGGTCTAGAACTCATTATAAAATATACCACTAACCTGTATAATAGACTTGAGTGTCTAAAGAAACAGCAGCTGCTTCCTCTGAAAAGCTTTCAGAAATGTAAGCACCATGTTTCCACAATTTGTTTTTTCTATTAGTAAGGAAAATCTCAAGTTTAAACCATTTAAAGGTAACTGTTATTCAGACCTGACTAGAAAGCAGAAGAACATGCCCTTCAACCTCTCATTAATGTGGAGCTACATGATTCTACTGTATTAATATTTTGGTAGCAATGGCATCAACACTGTATATCATATGAAGACACAGCATTTTCCTAAACCACTAATGTTCAACAAATATAATAACTAACAGCCTTTTGATTCAAACGTTTCTGCATACTATCTCTGCTTCTAGATTAATTTCAAAATATAAAAATCCTAAGACCTAATGATTGTGTAGTACGGTTTGAAGACACATTTTTGAAGACTTTTTCATCTAACATACTCTGTTCTGGAAACAACTCTGTACAGTAAACAGGAATGAGGACCACATTTTCCAAAGTAAATAAGGGATAGAGAGGTTAAGTTGCTTATTCAAGTCATACTGTTGGTCACTAGCAGAACCTGGATTGCCGTTTCCGCCCTGGAACTTCCACTCACTGCCTCCTAGCTTGGGGGTAGCTCCTTTCTCTATAGAATAAGAGAGCTAATAGTGGCCTTGCATCAGAACACAAAAAGAAGAGAAAAGGCAAGAAAGAAGGCCTGAGTATAGTAAGAAAACAATGAGAAAAGAGCTAGTATTGCTAGTATTCTTGCTTCTCGCCTACCGAAGTCTTAAGTAGCTTTCGAAATTTATGATTATGGTAATATTGCTGATTATTTTTATTGGTTTGCTTGAAAGACAGTAGTTTGCTTATAGAAACCCTTTTAAAAAGCACTAAACTTTGACCTAGTAGTTCATTTTTTTTTCCTTTTTCTTTTTCAATTATAGTTGACATTCAGTATTATATTAGTTTCAGGTGCACAGCCTAGTGGTTAGACATTTATATAACTTACAAAGTGATCTATCCCAATAAATCTAGTACCTACCAGGTACCGTACAGAGTTATTACAATATTATTGACTATATTTCCTATGCCATACTTTACATTCCCATCACTATTTTGTAATTAACAATTTGCTTTTCTTAATCCATTAACCTTCCACCCAGCCTCCCAACCCCCTTCTATCTGGCAACCATCATTTTGTTCTCTGTATATATGAGTCTGTTTCTATTTTGCTGTTCATTTATTTGGGTTTTTAGTTCCACATATAAGTGAAATCATAGGGTTTTTGTCCTTCTCTGCGAGAAAACAAAAAACAAAATAAACAAATAGGACTGCATCAAACTAAATGGTGTTTTCACAGCAAGGGAAACCATCAACAAAATGAAAAGACCACCTACTGGATGGAAGAAGATATCTGCCAATGATACATTAAGTAAGGGATTAATATCCAAAATTTATAAAGAAAACATACAATTTAACACCAAAACAAACAAAAATCCAATTAAAAATGGGGAGAAGACCTGAATAGACATTTTCCCCCAGACAACATACAGATGGCTAATAGACTTATGAATAGGTGCTTGACATAACTAGTTATCAGAGAAAATCAAAGTTAAAACCACAATTAGATATAACATCATACCTGTCAGAATTGCTATCATCAATAAGTCAACAAACAAGTACTAGCGAGAATATGGGGGAAAGCAACACTTGTGCACTATTGGTGGGGTTGCAATTGGTGCAGACACTATGGAAAACAGTGTGGAAGTTACTCAAAAAATTAAAAATAGAACTGCTGTTACCCAGCAATTACACTTCAGGGTATTTATTGAAGAAATCCAAAACACTAATTGAAAAAGATATACACATCCTTATGTCCATTGTAGTATTATTTACAATAGCTTGTCTCTTGAAGCAACCTAAGTGATCATCAATAGATGATTGAATAAAGAAGATGTAGTTCTATATAGAATGGAATATTACTTGGTTATAAAAAAGAATGAAATCTTACCATTTGTGACAACATGGTTAGACCTGGAGGGTATTATGCTAAGTAAAATAAGTCAGACCCAGCAATTCTTTTTTTGAGGATGCAAAATTCTATACAGGGAGGATGAAAAACAGAGTATCCAATTCATCTTTCTGGAGCATCAAGTTTATTAAAAATGTTGAACAAACCAAATACTTCAATAAGAACCTCCACTTACACGGAAGAAAAGAGCAGGGGAGAGGAGAAGGGCCCCAAGAAAAACAGTTCAGTCTCTCAAGTTTCATTCAGGTGGGGCCAAGGGATGGATCCGTAGTGAGGGCAGTCTCTCCTCTTGAGCCACAGGGGGCTCCAGGCCTTCCTCTAAGCTTAGCAGCTATTTTGGATAAGATGCTTCTGAAGGCCATAGAGATGCTGGATACCCTTCTGGTGTGAATCCCCAGTAGAGAATGCCACAGCAGTTTGCATACCTCCATCATCGACTGGACCAAGTCCTCTCTCCTGGGGTCCTTGCACACACAGTGTGTATTTCTAGCACTGCTCTCACCCACAGATATTTGCACCCAGCCTCTAGCTGATTTCCTGTACCACATGGCTTGCCTTCCTTGAGAGAGCACCTTCAAGATTTGCATTAAAAATGCAAAGAGTGTGGCTTGATCTCCCCAGAGTCTCTGACTGTGACTGTGACTTGTTTTTCTACAATCTAAAAAATTATAAAGGCTTGACTCTTATCCTTTTGAGATTTTTTTTTTTTTTCCAGTGGATGGCCCATAGCACGAGTCTTAATATGAAACTGAAGACGCTCCTAGCCACCCCTGGCGGTCTTGGCTGTGGCCAGAGGAGAGGCTAAGGTTCCACCATCAGGCTGCCCAGCATGGAGGGAGATTTCCTTGTTGGCTCCCTCTGGGTCTCCAATACTGATGCTACAGTATGGGTGGAGGGGGAGCCCCTAGGGCCATCCTGTAAAGAACCACCCCCAGGCTCCAAACATCAGCCATAGGTTTGGCACCACACCACCTCTGGGGTGATATGAGAGGGTGCCACAGAATGTGCTCAGTTTATGGCAGATAAATTCACTACCGAGGCCAAGGTTTGCAAGTTCTACATTCACCTCAGCATCTAAAAGTATGTTGTCTGGCTTCAGATCCCTGTGGACAATACCTTTCTGGCAGCAGCACTGTACCACTGATGCCAGCTGCTGGACCTGACTAGGGCTTCCTTATCAGTCATGTGGCCGTGGTTCTCCAGAGTATCAAACATGTCCCCTGTGCTCACATGCTCCATAATGAGGAATAATGTTTCTTCAGTGGCAATCACCTCGAAAACTTTATGATATTTGGGTGCTTTAAGCCATTCGTACAGTGGACTTCTTGAAAAAGCCTGGAGGAGCCCAGCCAATTAATGATTTTGACAGCTACTTCTGGCCTGGTCAGAATGTGCCAGGTCAACCTCACCATGGCAAAGTTTCCCTGGCCAAGGTGTTTAGGAGCTGGTAATGGCCATTATGGGGCTCCTCACTGACAGAAATGGTTACAAGTTTATTAGACAGAGTGACTTGCTAACTACACTAACCGACAATCCTATCAGTGCTAACTCTGCTTACTAACTGTGCTAACAAATAATACTAATTATACTATGGTAACTAGTACTAATAATATTAACTATGCTAATTATCAATGTTAATAAATAATAATAACTATACTAACTACATCAATACTAACAATATTAACTAAAAAATTCTATAGAAAATTAAGAAAAAGTACCAAGAATATTAAAAAATTCAAAAATGAGAAGAGAACAAAAAGAAAAATTGAGAAAAAGAAAAAAAAGTCAGTAAAAAAGAAAAATAGAAAACAATAAAAAGAAAAATAAGAAGAAATTTTAAGAGTAAAGAAATAAGAAAAAAGAAAGAATAAGAAGTTAACTAGTTTTAAGTCCAACAGGTCACCACAGATCAGCTTCTCTCCTTCTGGTACCCCTATGATGCAGATGTTGTTATGCTTGATGTTGCCTCAGAGCTTCCTTCAATTATCTTCATTTAAAAAAAATATTTTTACTGATTTTAGAGAGAGAGAGGAAGAGGGAGACACATCAATGTGAGAGCAAAATACCAATCGGTTGCCTTTTGCATGCCCAATTGAGCCCATACTTGGGCGTGTGCCATGACCAAGAATTGAACCAGCAATCCTGAGCCATACTGGCCAGGGCTATTTTCATTTTTAAAAATCTTCTTCTTTTTGCTGTTCTGATTGTGTGTTTTCTGCTATCTTGTCTTTCAAATTGCTAATTTGATCCTCTGCTTCACCTAACCCGATGCTGATTCCTTCTAGTG